TGAGCCTGTCCCGCAGCCTCCAGGAGCTCACCGAGGAGAACCAGAGCCTGAAGGAGGACCTGGACCGCGTGCTCAGCAGCTCACCCACCGTCGCCCGGACCAAGGGTACCTCCCACAGCCTCCCGACCCCCCCGCACGAGGCCCACGGGGCAGACACCGCCACAGGCAGGCCATGCGGAACGTGCAGGAACTTAGCGCGTGCAGTGTGCCCAGCTCGGGCCTGGGGGCTGGAGACTGTAGTAAACAGAAGCAGGCAGATGCCCTTGTGGTCACACCATGCAGGGAGGTTGGTGTGGAGCAGGCGGATGAGGGCCGGGGCAGGGCCTGCAGTGTCCTCGCAGGGGCTGCTGGTGCCCTGGGCCGGCCTGTGTGCAGTGCAGAGAGGAGCAGATTTGGGGAGAGGGTCAGTGAGGTCAGGGTCAAGGCCTTGGCAGACCGAGGCCTGGTGGCCATCAGAGAGCAGGTGGCCGGGCGACATCACAGCACCTGTGAGTGAGCAGAGAAGGGACCAGGAGCGAGTGGTGACCTGGAGCAGGTGCAGGATGCGGGGGCAGGTCCAGAGGCTGCGGATGGGGACGGCCGTGGGGCTGGCACAGTGAGGACCATGGCCTTGAAGAGCCGAGAGCCCGAGAGGGCAGACTCGGGACTGAGGGTCACCTGAGGCCAGGGAGACAGTACCGGGGACTCCACAGTGGGAGGGGCAGACCCCCCTGCGGAGAAGCCTTTTGGAGCAGGAACCTGGCACCTCATGGGGGCCAGGGCGGTGCCAGGCGAGGGGCGGGGTGGCTGCCGGCCATCGGGCCACTGAGGACGCTGCACACTGTGTCTTTACAGGGTGCGTGGAGTGGAGCAAGCCCCGGCTGCTGAGGCGGATCGCAGAGCTGGAGAAGGTGAGCGCTGTCGGCATCCCCGCCTGGTCAGGGCCGCCCTGCACGGGGAGGGGCAGACGGAGATGGGACAGCGGGGCTTTGCTCCTGCATTAGGGACTGAGCCGGGCGGCCCTGCGCGTGGCTGACTGCGGACGGGCACTGACCAGAGGTGGGGGCACCCGGCGGGGTGGGTGCAGAGGCCCCAG